GTTGTTCTCATCCCGGCACCAGTGGACTGCAGTTTCGACCTCGCATCGGTCTTATCAACACCCTCAGCGGTAGTTTCGAAACCCTACTCTTATACCACTTCACTTATCTTTGCTTGTCTTAAAGGAGAATATCTGGCTCCGCCAAATTCACCGCTACTATGAGGCATACTAATTTCATTGTGGAAGCCTTAAGGAAGCTCTGTTGTATGAAGTGCAGGCCGGTTAAATAGCATCGAAACGACATACAAACCTCTGTTTCACCTACCCTCTAAAGGTGCTGCTTGTCTTTGGTGGCTGGTGCGACGGCGAGGGTCCTAGGGCGGCCGCTCAGGTCTACAGTCCACGTACCAACACCTGGACCCTGTGGACTGAGAACGGATGCCAGACGCAGGCACCGATGCCCAACTGGTTGTTATCGCAGACGACAGGACTGGAACAACAGCCGAAGGAGTTGGTCAGCCTGCCCATCTCTTCTGAGGCCATCTTGTCGCCCAGTTCTCCCTCTTCGCCGTCGCAGATGGCAGGACCGCTACCGTCGCAAGTTGGCACGACGGATCAGAGCCAGCCGGGCCTGGAGCCGATGGGATCAGCGAATGCTGAAATAGCACCGCCCATTCGGTCAAGTCTACAAATGGCCCTCACGAGTGTCAGGGATCTGGTGCCATTGACCAATTATTCTCCCGGCCGCCTGGAACCGACCGTCAGCCCGGGCCACAGGATCGCTGCAGAGGCGAGCATGGCGTCGGTCATGCGGGTGAATAGAGGAACGGCAGATGCTGGATCACCGCACATGATTGGTGAAATTCCGAAGCGTGTGTATGCCGGCTGTGTGCTTGTGGAGTCGAGGGTCTACCTGATCGGTGGATTCGACGGAACAAACGCACTCAAGTCTACACTTTGCTTCGACTTCGACACTGACTCTGGGTGGTAGGATGTCGGCTTTTAACTTTGTCTGTCATAAGAGAGACTATTGAAATCCTGAGCATTTTCCCAAAATCATGGAGGGTCTTATCACCTGACCAATCGAGCAGACTTCCTATTCCTGTTTGGTTAGTCTATTTAACTTGTATAGCAAGACAGAGCTCTGAATATCAAGCAATTAAGTCTCGATACCTGATCACAGTCATGTGGAAAAAATGGAATCTCTCTTCAGAGTGAGCAATCAACATCGGTCGACTCGTTGTTTAAGGGATGGCACAATACATTGGAAGGAAGACTAGCTTAGTAGGAGTTGGACTCATAGAGTGTGGATCAAGGCCAAGAAAAGTCGTTGCAGTAAATTTGAATGGAAATAAGTAATCAACGCCTTGAATGTCATGTCCACTCCGGAGCTATGATCTGTGGACCATTTATTTGTGCATTGACCCCTTAGTACTGGGCTCGAGTCCAGTTAGGTGGGCTGACACGATGCGCTGCCAATCGACTTTATTAAAGAAAGCAGATACGAAGACTGTATTAACGGAAACAAACGTTATAGGATTCCTAACAGAGGGTCAAAATAAGAGTTTAAGTCACCATATATCACGCAAGGCGATGAAGGACTAATAATTTATGATTCTTTCTCCACAATTATACTACTAGGCTTCACATTTACATTAAATTGCAATTACCATTATCGCCTAAAAGGTATTCTCATCCGGGCTGGACTACAAGTTAGACCTCGCTTTATCAGTGCCCCTGGCTGGACTCGACCCCGTTTAGTGCTGTGTATAGTCTCGAAATGTCAACTACTACGCTACTTTGACAGCATTGCCCTTGGGCCGCAGAGCAGAAGTAAATTTCTAAGAAGACCAGGCCTTTCTATAATATTTAAATATATATATAGTGGGATTGTCGATTATAAAAGTTGTATTTTCTATTATAATAACTTCATTACTTATTTTGTTTGTAAGTAGGTTCGTAATTTTAAATGAAATAAGGTAAATAAGGCTCTTTTCAAAAAAATTTTAGTTACTCTCTTTTGCTTCGAATATAAAGCCTGAAGTCTCGAAACTCTACTTATATACGAAAAGAAAGTCTGCATACCTGCAAAAAGATATAACGCATTTATTAACTACTCTTTGAAAAATATTTTAAATCAGACTTATCCTTACTATGCTATCAAATAAGGCTCATTTTGACCTTGTTTTCGCAACATAGTCATATTGGTAGGAAGACTTAGAGGAACGTACCTAGTCCGGAGTCCATTGTATGCATCATAATTTCCAGAGTAGGACCGTGGACAGGGTACATTCCCAGACGTTTCGCCGGCATCATCAGTGAGTCTCGCCATTCTTAGCACCATTCAACAACTCG